GCTGCTGCATTGTAAATTTTGGTCAATGACATGAGACAAAGTATATATGAACTGCTGTATGAAAAGTGAATTTACTCTGTAAATCTTCACCCAAATCCTAATAAAAAAAATAATAATAATAATCTTGCACTATTACATCATTACTTTATGAGAATTCATTTGGTGCTGGGATCTGCCTCACCAAAAAGCATGTCAGTCACTGCCCAGATTACACATTAACACTGTACAAAGAGAAGCCGTAACAGCAAAGTCTCCATAGATAGAACACTTTCTATTTATTTAACCGTGTATGAGCATTTACTTAAGTCTCCAAATTAAAAAGGTGCAAGAAAAGCAACTTTTAATATAAACAGACATGAAGCTGTCATACCAGTGGCCACTTGGTGCTGCAATTAGAGAAAATAAAGCCATCTGTGAGACTGAAGTATGGACCTGGGAGAGGAGAAAGGGAGGCACTGGAGGTGGATTTCAGACAGACAGTGACACAAACTGTTGTACTGCTGGATGTTCCATATGAGGATATCCGAGCACGGGCCTAGAACACGTCTAAATCTAGGTCAGTCCAGCTTAACAAACATCAAGGGGCACGAGCAACCACCGTGGCAACTTGAGGATGATTCATCAGCAGTGCAATTTCACCAAAGTAAACCTGGTGAAATCAAAGTCTTTTTGGTGGTAATCGTCCCACTTCAACAAACCCTTCATTTTCTGAACGATGCTGTAGCATAGCATCTGAACCCTCTAAAATAATGGAGAACCCATCCATCCCCTGGTTGCCCCTGCACCACAATTTTCTGTACATCTTCAAACTGGACTGATTCCAACACGTCAGCTACTGTGAGATATTCCCACTTATTTAAAGATTCTAAAATAGACACTTTGCTAAGGAACTCCTCATACATCTTCTGCTTTCTCAGGGTGCTTCCCATAAGGATTCTTCTAGGCTGTCTTGGTCAATACCCCACAACTTCACATTTGTCTTTGCTTTGACAGTGACTGCTCTAGGTGTTCCATAAATCAAAGCAAGCTCCTCCTTCCCCAACACTAGTTGCTCATTCACTATTGACATAGACAGCCATCTCTCCTTGATCAATCACATAGATGTTATCAGCTTCATCACCTTAGAACCCTAGGGGTAGTTCTACTCTCCTATGGGGTTGCTATGAATCAGAATCTACTCAATGACTATGGGTGGTGGTAGTACGGAATCTTTAGAGAATCAGACTGCCACATCTTCTATTACAGAGTGGCTGGTGGGTTTCAACTTAATTTTTGGTTAGGAGCCAAGTGTTAAACCACTGCACCACCAGGTTCTTTCAAGTGGTGGTAGGTATAAATAATTGTGAATTACATAGTCTGTCTCCATGGAATGCACTCTAGCAGAGAAGATGGTTAACAAGTTGTGACAAGAGATACAGAGCAGCAAAACAGGGTTTTTAAGAAACGGTAACTCTAACTCCTATTGAGGGTTCAAAATCTCTTTGAAAAAAGTAACATTTAAGCTAACATTTGACCATGCAGAGAATACAGCACATGCAAAGGAAAGGGGCAGTACAAAAAATTAAAATAAGTTTAAGCCTAACTAAGCAAGGAAAAGTACCTTAATTCAGAGAAGTGGACAAGAACCAGTTACGCAATATAGGCCACTCTAAGAAGTATGAATTTGATTTTACCCATTTGACGAGATAAATGACCTTATTATAAATAAAAAAAGATTGGTATTAATTAAAAGATCACTCTGCTGCAAAATAAATATGTCTGAAAGAAGGGAGAAATGGGAGGAAGAGTGGGAAGAAGGAAGTAGAAACTCAGCTTCTTTGGTCATGGTAAGAGCTTTAGGCTTTACAGGGAAAACCCACATACATTCTTCTAGGTCGCTGTGTTAGACTGGATTCTCTAGAGAAACAAAAACCAGTAAAGCTTATATATATATATATAAAGAGAGAGAGAGAGAAATTTATCTTGGGAAAATGGCTCACACACTTATAGAAGCTGGCAAGTCCAAAGTTCCTGGATCAAACATCAAGCTGGAGACTTTCCCTGGCTCCCGCAACCACAGGGGCTGAGGAGCTCAAGGCTGGCAGGCAGTACACTGGCTGTTGACTCTAACGAATGACGAACCCAAGAACCCAGGCCAAATGGTAGACTGTTCACTCACGGACAGTTGTAGGCAGCACAACAGAATCCTGATCCACAGAAGAATGTCTCTCTTCCCAGGATGTCCTTGGCTATACTGCAAGCTGGCCACACCCCTAGGGGAACTCCCTTTCAACACACTGGCCACTCAGAACATAGTCATCTTATTCCATCATGGGAACAACCACACCACAACAGCTCAAACCACACAGAATTGTGGTCCAGCCAAGTTGACACACAGCTCCAACTATCACAGTCGTCTAATTTACTCAATTAATACAAGAAAGCAGAACTCTATTCACAAATAAAATGCATTTGACTGCAGCATGGATTACAGCATATCTCTCAGAATCTGACTATGGCAAACAAGATGCAGGATAAAGGGAAGAAAGTCTCAGAACATAAAAATTTTCAAATAAAAGTAGAGACCTGTCCTCAAAACAGAACCAGTTTATTTTTTAACTAAATCTTTGGTATCTACACTAAGGTATAATAATCATTGCTTCTACAGTCACAAACATGTAAATGTATATTCCATTTTATATTATATTCCTCATTGGAAGATTCACACAAATATTAGCAACATGCAAGTATTTGCATTGGAAAGTCATGTTAGGTTAGGTATGTTTGTATCAATAAACAACAGCACATTTGAAAAGGTGCTACAATGTAGACATCAAATATTTAAGTAAGTTTATACACTATTACTCACTCATTACCCTGTTAATAAGGCAATCCTACTTCCGTAGTGATACTGCCTCGGAAACCCAAGGAGGGGTCGCTATGAGTCGGGGCCAACTCGACGGCACATAACAACAACATAACAACCCTGTTAATAAAGGAGTTCTGGTGGTGTAGTGCCTAAGGCATTTGACTGCTAACCAATCCTTGGAAAGAACACTAGGCAATCTACTTCTGTAAAGATTTACCACCTCAGAAACCACATGAGGTTGCTATGAGTCTAAATTGACTCAATGGCAATGAGTTTGGTTTTGTTTGGTTTACCCTGTTAACATCATGCTTGGTTCTGGTGATAAAATAAGGAGCATGACAGGCTGGGTCCTTGCCCTCAAAGTCTTACAGTTTAATATAAACAGCCAATAATAATACAGTTAGTAAATTTTGAATTTACTACTGAAGCACCTAAGGCATTTGACTGCCAACCAGAAGGCTGGCAGTTCAAACCCACCAACCACTCCTTGGAAGGAAGACTGAGCAGTCTACTTCCATAGAAATATTACCTTGGAAACCCAAGGAGGGGTCGCTATGAGTTGGATCTGACTCAACAGCAGTGAGTTTTTTTGAGTTTACTGAAGCACATAGGAGGAGACAGCTTAGTCAGACAGAGAGGTGGAAAGGCACCTCCTTCCCTGAGTCCTCCAGGGAAACCTATCACATTTGTTTCCTTTTCTCATAACACCTTAGTCCTCCATCTTTCATTCTTACAAAGTCAGAAAAGAAAGGATGAGAAAACTAAAGCAAGACCTACGTTTCCTATGGTCTCTGTACTTCTGGTTCAATCACAATGTATATAATTCTCAGTCAAGTTCAGATTAACAATCAGGAATTTGCAGAAAACTTGCTGCTATATATATCCTCTATTTTTATGTTTGCATTTTTCATAAAATAGCATAACAGAAAAAACAAAAAAAGATGAAAAACATCATGTAGAATATATGAAAGCACACCATGCTCTTTTCTGCATGCTAAATTCCTATTCAGTTTTCAAATTAAAAATCAAGTGTGATCTTGTAATACTCCCCTAAAAGACAGCAATACTCTCTTCATTTTGTTGTATTTTATTTGTTTACATGTAGGTTATCTGTATACATCAGTTTCCTTCATTAGTCAAACCCTTGTCAAAAAAAGGCATTATCCTGTTAATTTCTACCACTCAATGATTCAAGTCTAATACAGTAAATCCTGCAAAATCCAGGATCTGTCAGAAGGAAGACTCAAATATTTTCCACTAAAACAAGTGATAGAAAAGTGTTAAGGCAGAAAACTAGTGAGATCTGAAAAAACAAGGCAGTCTCACGGAGTTCTGGGTCCAGGTTTCACTGTATTATACTTGACATATATTACTCAATAAATTTTTGTTTAATAAACAAATGATTTCTATATTATCATGAATAACTTACCATCCTTTCTCTACTTTAGTATTGTTGTTGTTATGTGCCGTCGAGTCGGACCCGACTCAGAGCGACCCCTCCTTGGGTTTCCGAGGCAGTATCATCACGGAAGTAGATTGCCCCATCTTCCTTCCGAGGAGTGGCTGGTGGGTTTGAACCGCTAGCCTTCTGGTTAGCAGTCAAGTGCCTTAGGCACTATGCTACCAGAACTCCTACTTTAGTATTAGCATGATATTATTTTTAGTTATGATACAATTGTAGGTATTTATTGACATATAAGTAAAATGTGAAACTAAGATGGTTTTGTTATAAAAATTAGAAAGATGTTTCAATACTTATTTCAAGATTTTTTGGTAAGCAATGCAAGGTATTGTGAATGGGAGAATTAAAGTGTAGACTAACATAACAAAACTTTATGCCAAGAGACAGACAATCTCTTTTCCCAGCAATCAAAAGATTTCTCTCTCCCTCACTCCCCTTTCCCATGAAGCAGTTATATATAAGCATCACTTCTAATTATCATACTTCTTTCCCAAATGGTTAATTATAAAATAAAATGGTTAACTTACCTGCTTTAAAACCCATTGTAAAGCCTTTTCAAAATAATCTCCAATCCAGTTTTCAAGATTATTCCTATATTCCGCAGGCTGATTCCTCAACCAAGATTTTATCAGAGAATTAAGATCTGTCCCTTCATCACTGACACAGATTAACACAAACTCATAAGAAACTATTTAACAAGAAATTATCAATTTACTTTCAAAACAAATTTCTACTCCAATAAACATTATTCTATACATGTATTTTACCTGCCATAATACAAGAGTTGATTTCAGTTACTTCTGTATGTATATATATATATATTTTTAGTTACTTCTATGTATATAGATAGACATTTTTATATATATATATATATATACACACACACACACACACAGCTATACATCGTTTTTGTGAAATAAGGAAACTGTTTCATCTACATTATTATAACTATAAAATAAAGAAAAATTACAATCTATAGTGTGGCTAAAAAGTAGACCAAACCCTTCATACTCGAAATGTGGTCTGCTTGTTAGAAACAGAGAATCTCAAGTCTCCTTCCAGATCCGTTGAACCAAAATGTGCATTTTAACAGGATTCACCAGGTAATTCAAAGACACATATAAATATGCAATGGTCTAAACTGTAATGCAGAACTTTAAAAATACTTCTTTTCTCTATCCCACAAAAAATATCTTACCTAATTACTACCTAAATCATGCAACCATTAAAAATTGAAGATCTCTTTGACTGAAAAAATACTTAAATCTTATTCAAAAGTATACCTTATACAATTATAAAAAATATAGTAGAAAATAACTGTTATAGATTAGTAATTTTGGAATTAATAAGGGCTCATAATTTTTGTCATTTTTCCTGTCTTCCACCAATGTTTCATGGCAACACTAGTATCAACTGAGCCCTTGAAAGTTCTCCTCTAACATTTTCTATCTAGTCTAATTATAAGCTTGTAATTAGTATGTTCATTTCTCTGAACTCAATCTTAATATTTAAATAAAAATAATAGAAAACAAATTAAGTACTTGCCTTTTCACTTGGAAAAAACAAAAAACAAAGTCACTGCCCTCAAGTCAGATCTGACTCATAGTGACCCCTTCTTGGGTTTTGGAGGCGGTATCTCTACGGAAGTAGATTGCTCAATCTTTCTTCCAAGGAATGGCTGGTGGGTTTCAACCTCCAGCCTTCTAGTTAGTAGTCAAATGCCTTAGACAGTACACCTCCAGAACTCTCTTAGAAACTGTGATACTGACTAAACTACTAAAATAATTCAATTATAATAAATCAAGTACTTCTCTGAATGAATTAAAAATAAAGAAAAAAATTAATCAAAAATGGGGGAAATAAGTATTCATAAATTATCCATGTAACATTACTTAGCTATGAAACTAAAATAATTAAATTCTCTTATAACTTACCTAAGAAAGATCATTCCCATTCTAGATATTGTGGCTGGTGAGGCACAACTTAAATCATGAGTTTCAAATACAAAATTAACATTTGGACCAAACTGAATCCTTTCTCCACTGGGCATAGTGAGTAGTCGATTATCATCCAATACAGAATTCAGAGATTCTATCCATTCAGGGTCAATATCACCATCACAGATTATCCATGAGCTGACATCTATTTTCAAAACAAAATATTAGAAATAAAACAAAATGAAGGATTGCATCCAATGTCACAAAATCTGTATGAACTGTTGAATGGAAAACCAATTCACTCTGTATACCTTCACCCAAATCACAACAAAAAGTTATTTAAAAAAAAAAATTCTCAGTAAAAACATACAGAGAAATAAAAGATAAGGAATGAAATAATTATCTCTTTATTTTAGAAGTTACTTCTATAAATATCATTTTGTATTAATGAATATAAATATGAACAACAAAAAGTTGAACAAGAAATTTTTCATGTCAATTTGGACTATGACTGTGTTGGAGAGCAAATGTACTATGCTAGCTTAGATGGCCAAAGATTAGTTATACATAATGTGATAATGCTTTATTTATCTACAAACATAAACAATTAGTAAACTCATTAAAAGAAAACCTGGTGTTGGAGACTTAGGTATTTCCATTCTCATGAGATACCTGTAAGATACTCTTTAGCCCTTTGTCTTCTTAATACATCAAAAGAATGCGTGCATCCTTGCTATGTGATATTTCCTTCAGAAAATATGGGAAAACTACACTCAGTAACCTACATAAACCATGAAGTTCACCACTGTCAAATAGCTGATACAGAGAAAGGAAGCAGATGGCCTGAAAAGGGAGAAGGAGTGACCAAGTCATATACAACATTCTTTCCACAAACAAAGCTTTTTTATCCATTCTTCCTAAAATAGGAGTGGTCATAAGTTGTATTTGGGCCTTTGAAACAATTCAAAGAGGAAAACAGCATTAACAAAAATGTGAAAAATCAGTGCAGGTAAAATCTTATTTTTATTTAATGTAATATTACATAGAAAATAAAAGACTACATTTAAAATTCCTTAGAAATTTCCTAAGGCAATGAGGGGAAAGAGTTCTGAACTTCCCATTCATTGCCATAGAAAATAACTCTTAATTAAATTATAACCTGGAAAAGAGTAGGGAGTCTCTTCTGATTATGTGCAAAAATTTCTTAAAACATGATGTCTATTGTTTTACCAGTAACATTTTCAAAACACCCATCTGGCTTATTTAGCAACTTGCTTATTTTTATCATCTCACTAATCAAACAGATATTTTCCATTAATTCATTAAATTATTAGTGAACTAAAATTTACCAAAATTAATCTCAGTTTTAATTATAATAAAAGTTTTATACGGTGTAAGTCATTAAAAGGATAATATGCCTTGGGTCCCTTCAAAATAAAATAGTTGTTAAGATATCAAATGTACATCCTTATAAAGTAGCTTACAGTCATTTATAATCCTTGATAAGGACAGCATTATAAACAAGTCTTCTATCATTTTGTAAAAATTATTAAGGAACACAATGGATCATACAATAGAGACCAACCTTGAGGTTCTCGAACCACTTGGCGAGCACTATTTGTCAAAACACCATCAGACCATTCCCTTGTATCCATGTCAATATGGCCTAATAATTGATGTCTAGGCATAGCTTTGGGATTCATGGTATACTGTTTTACCACTTTGCCAGTTTTACAAAGTGCAGCCCTTAACATTCTCCAAAGGGTTGATTTACCAGCACCACTTGGACCAACAATAACAACTCCCATTCTCTGGCATAACTGTTCATACAGTTCCAAAGCCTTCTTGATCTAACGGGAAAAAAATATATATATTCATATATAGTTTATAGTGTTAAATCATACTTAGTTCTCCTATTCTGCAACATTTTCCATATCTTGTCTCTGATTTCCTTAGTAAAAAATAAAGCCTTATGTAGAATACCTAGATAAATGTGAGCGTGTTAACGTGATCTTTAAACTCAGCAATTCATTAAAAGGAGCAAGGATGAGTTTTTCTTTTTTTAATTTGGCAACATAATATGTTCCTGATTCTATTCATTCATTGAAACAAAGTTGAGAAAAATTGGTCATTATAAATATTTATCTGTGGTTCACAATAAGACCCTTTAAAAGAAATTTCTCCTGAGTAATGATCAAAATAAAACTAAATCACATATTATCAAAAATATGTATGATGGATCTATTATGTGCCAGCTACTCTGATAGGCAGTAGGAATAAAATAGTAAGTAAAAACAGATATCCTGCCCTTCGTGGAGATTATAATCAATATTAATCAAATACACAACTGAACAATAACTAAGTATATATGAAAAGAATAGCAAAAGCATATAGCAAATCTGGAATTAAAAATCAAAGGAAAATTTCCTGAGGAATTTAGGTTTAAGTTGAAAGATGAAGCATAAGTTGACTACATCTGAATTAACTAGGAGAAAGGGTCAATACATTACAAAATATTCTTGACAGTTACCTGATTGGGTATGATTTCATAATTGGCCTCCTCAAAGACTTGCTTTAATGAAGCACTTAGTTCATCGTATTCTACTTCCTTAAAGTCAATTCCAGGAAAGACATCTTTAATCAGTGCATCGAACCGGGTGCAATCAGTAAACGTAAACTTTGACATTGTATTAAGCCTCAGTGCTTGTACCACAATATGACTTTCATTAACTGGAGAAAAAGTTTCATGTTAAAATTATTTGTTATCAATTTAAGGACTATAAAGATAGTTTCTAAAGTGCTCTACCACTCAATATGAATTTTTAGTAATTAAATGAATCACTAAAATTTAGTAGCATTTAAAGGCATACTACATCAAGTAAACTAGAAAAATTACTATTTTGTGATTGCTGAAAACTAAGTATCTTTAAGAGATAAGGACTCGTTTCTATACAATTTGAATCCCAAGGTGCTCATATCTTAAATAATAATAATATTATTATCATTCATATTTGCATCATAGTTTACATCATATTACACTGTGTAATACTTATAATAACTCTATGAAGTCAGCAAAGCAAGTATTATTATTATTGTTCTATTTTTATAGATGAGAAAATTGAGTCTCTAAGGGTTTAAATGATTTAGCTGAGAAAATTTGGCAGTATGCATTAAAGCTGGAATTAAAGTAAGGCAAGATAAGATCTATACACATCTGTTCAGACTTACCTACAAACTCTACTTAAAGATACACTTAGCAACAAATCTTGTTCATCACCCAGAGGACTATCAATATACCAATATCACTTATCAGAGATTTTAAGTCATAAGACAAAAAATAACAAATTGAACAACAGTTTTTGATCAGCCTTGATGAGGTTGGTCCGCCTCACAAACTCATTTTAAACCAACGGTAAATATTGAGATCATTACCAAGGACATTAGGTGATGATTGATAGCATATATAAGAATAAAGGCAAATATTACATATAAATAAAGGCAAAGAAACTATTTTCAGTCTTGTATATTCCCAATATGAATTGCTTAACAATTCTATGTTAAATATACACACACACATATATAAACAGGCTTGGCCTTATTAGCAATTATTTCAAGCAATGAACTCATAAACCATCAGTATTTACTGCATGTATGAAAAATAGTAACATAAGCATTTCTCAAAATAATTATGTCTACCCTGGCATATCATGCTTGTAAAGTGGAGCATCAATGAAAAAGGGGAAGGCCCTCAACACAATGGATTGACATAGTGGCTGCAACGATGGGCTCGGGTATAGCAAGGATTGAGAGGCTGGCACAGGACCAGGCAGTGTTTTGTTCTGTTGTGCATGGGGTCACTATGAATCAGAGACAACTTGACAAAACCTAACAACAAACAACAATCCTGGCATATGCCAACCTAACAGAGCTAAAGTAGACTCATCTTTTAATATGCATACTTCGATCATTTATAGTCCAAATCAGTAATGTCTTATAGTTCTTTTTTCTGGGCTGTCTCTTATTTTCATAACTTAGTTTTTAATACCAAGTCTGAAGAGGTTTAATATTCAGCCTTTCAAGATGGCAGACATCTAGTGGGGAGGGAGCATCATTTATTTTATATGAGTAGGGAAAAAAATGACAAAGTATAAAACCCATAAAGTCTAACCGATAAATATCTTCATAAGTAGATGGAAGAGAAGAGACAAATCTTTACAGAAGAATTTTGCATAACATATTCAGACACCTCCCCCCTAAGAGATGGAGTTTAATTCTTGCCTCTCACTTTTCAGGGTAAGGCAGATACAGTAACTTGTTTCCACAGAACAGAATTTAAAAGAAAGGGAAAACAGTAACTTTAAACTCAAGAAAACTGGTAAAAACTACCTTAACCAAGTGATAAAGTTAAAACAATCAGTGATACCATGTACTTAAGATGCACCTACTGATAGAATATGATGAGAAAGATGTTTTACTCCTGTAGCAATCTTTCTGAACCCTCATAACAGTCTAATAATGAGAAAAGCATAGGAAAAACCCATATTGGGGGACATTCTATGAGAGATCTGGCCAGTATGACTCAAGACTGTCAAGGTCATGAAAAATAAGGAAAGGCTCAGAAGCTGTCATAGATGAGAGGAGAATGAGGAGACATGGCAACTAAACGCAATGCAGTATGTTAGATTCAATCTTGGAACAGAAACAGGATATTAATGGATAAAGAGGTAAAATTCAAATAGTGCCTGTTGTTGTTGTTGTTGTTGTTGTTGTTTTTGTTTGCCGTCGAGTCGGCCCCGACTCATAGTGACCCCTCCTTGGGTTTCCGAGGCAGCATCACTATGGAAGTAGGATTGCCCAACCTTCCTTCCGAAAATAATGCCTAGAGTTAGTTAATAAAAATATACCAATATCACTTTCCTAGTTTGACAATAACACAGTAAGGAAAACTAGATAAAGCATATATTGAAATGCTCTGTAAGATCTTTGCAAGTTTACCGTATATCTAAAATTAATCTAAAACTAAAACTTGGGTGTTCTTTTTCGTTTTTGTTAAAAAAAAAAAAAACTTAAAATATGGGGAAAGAAAAGAAGGAAATTTTCATTTGGTATATTATCTCTTTGAAAGAGAAAATCCCAATTAAAAATCCCATTATTTCAAAGGTTTCTGTTGTTAAGACTAGACAACCAAATTCTTTAGCTCCAATTCAGACCTACTGAATAAGACACTTTGGGGTTGGGTCCAATCTGTGTCTTAATAAGCCTCTAGGTAACTGTGATGGAGAGTAAAACTTAAAAACTAGCCTAAACTATTCTTCTACATATCACTGCTTGCTAACATTAAATACACACTACAAAGTTAGGATATGACATTAGGTTAATGTTCTGGTTACCTCTGTACCCCTCTGACAAGAATATACCACAAATGGGATGGCCTTAACAAACAGCAGTTTATTCTCTTACAATTCGGGAGGCTAGAAGTCTGAGTTCAAAGGGCCAAGCTCTAGGGACTGTGTGAAAGCCCCTCGACCTTGGGCTTCAGCTCTACCTCTTGCTCCCAGTTCACGGAAGCTAGAGGCATCTCTTCACTTAGACAGCTTCTGGCTGCTGAGGCTGACAAGCCCAAGGTCAACAAAGAAAATGGCACAGTCCCGAGGTTACCAAACCACATGGCAGCCCATTAATCAAGTCCATTGAATGTCCCAAGGTTGGCAGAGTATAGCAGGCTGCTGAACAATGACATGGCTACATTCAGGGTCCAAGCACGCCATAAGCTAGAGACTATTCCCAAAGCTGTTTCTTATATTAGGGAAGCAGACCACATCCCTAAAGCAGCTACTCAGCTGCTTGTGGTAGGTTCCACCATGGAGCTGACTTCCAATCTCATCATGGGGAATAACTACCACCAGCTGCCCAGCCACTCAACCAGGGCCAACCAAGTTGACACACAAACATAACCACCACAATTCCACCCCTTGTCAACTTGGCACTTGTGCATATCTTCAATGGGTGTTATCTGTACAGGTATCTTTCACTAGGTGACTCTAGTCCCCTAGACCTGAGTTGCAACCTCACCCCCTTGGCCTGGCGGGCCCCGTTCCTCTCCCTCCTGTGCATGGTAGTCCTGCCCCCTCACTCTTGGGCAGTGGCTATAACTCCACCCCACTGGCTCACATGAAGGAGCAGTCCCACACTCCAGAACCAAGTTGGTGAAGGTCTGGCTCTTTGAAACCTAGGGGGCTGTGGTAGTTCTACCTCCAAAGGCCATGGTCCTTACCACTCAAAAAATTTTTGCTTCCTGTCCCTGCTACACTATGCACTGGGGGTCTTGAGATCTTAGTTCCAAAGGGAGGAACACTCCCACCTGGAGACACAATACTGACTGCATTGAAGTGAAAGTTAAGAATGCCATCCAGCCATTTTGGATTCCTCATGCCTCTGGATCAACAGACAAAGAAGGGTGTTACTGTACTGTCTGGTGTTATAGATCCTGATTACCAAGGGGAAATTGGACTGACATTACATAAAGAGGTAAAGAAGAATATCTCTGGAATATAAGAGATTCTTTAGGATGTCTCTTAGTACTACCATGCCCTGTGATTAAAGCCAATGGAAAATTACAGCAACCCAATTCTGATATGACTACTAATGGCTTCATTCAAGAATGAAGGTTTGGGTCACCCCACCAGGCAAAGAACCACGACAAGCTGAGGTGCTTGCTGAGGGCAAGGGTGGTGGAAGAAGGTAATTCTGACTATCAGCTACAACCATGTGACCAGTTGCAGAAATGAGGATCCTGATTGTTATATTTCTTCATTGTATATGTGCATCAAATACTTTGTTTCCTTCTGTTATGAACTGTGAAATGTAAATAAGGTTATTGTGTTTCGGTTGTATGCATGTTAGCATATCACGTTAGGCACAAAAATGACCTTATAATTGTCCTCATTTAGAGATTATATATGGTTAAGAAAATGTATACAACTTCCAAGTTGACAAGAGATGATGGACTGTGATAGTTGGAGCTGTGTCTCAACTTGGCTGGACCACAAGTCTATGTGGTTTAACCAATTGTGATGTGGATTATTCCCATGATGGGATCAGATGCATATGTTTTGAGCAACCAATCCATTGAAAGGGAGTTTCCCTAGGGCTGTGGTCTGCTTCCAATATATTTATGGACATCCTAGGAAAAGTGACATTCTTCTGTGGATCAGAATCCTGTTGTGCTGCCTCTGTGTGAGTGAACAATCCACTATTTGGCCTGGAGATCCTGGATTTGTCATTCACTGGAGTCAACAGCCAGTATACTGCCTGCCAACTTTGAGCTCATCAGCCCCTGCAGCTGCATGAGTCGGGAAAAGCCTCCAGCTTGCGTTTGATCCAAGAACTGGGGACTTGCCAGATTCTGTAAGTGTGTGAACCATTTTCCTAAGATAAATTTTTCTTTCTCTGCCTGAGGCACTTGACTGCTAACCAGAAGGCTGGTGGTTCAAACCCAGCAGCCACTCCTCAGAAGGAAGATGATGCAATCTACTTCTGTAGTGATACCACCTCAGAAACCCAAGGAGGGGTCACTATGAGTTGAGTCTGACTTGACAGCACATAGCAACAACAACAACATATGTATATATAAGCTTTACTGGTTTTGCTTCTCTAGAGAATGAAGCCTAACACATTTGGTACCAGGAGTGGGGTGATTCTAGAGAGACAAAATCATAAGGATGGGCTTC